CAGAGCATTAATTTAGTTAAGATTCATCAGTTTATCAATTTCATCATTATATAGATGATAATAAATTAAGTAGTTAAATACACGACTATTGAAAAAAAAATACATTAAAAAGTATATTGAAAGACAAAAATATAGTATGAATTGTTTAATAAAATAAAAGCCTTTTTTGATGAAAAGGAAAAGGAATTTTTTATTATCAAATTGTAAAGTTTTACTGCCTTACCAAATGTTTTAAAAATCTCACGAATTTAAATAAAAGTACTTTGATTTTCAACATTTACGCAAGATTCAGATAATGTCGGGAGCTGCGAAATGTAACACGTCAATAATTGCAATTTAGAACAAGGACACCTGTTTGCCGCAGTACGTTGTTTCTGATTATATTCACGATTATTGATATCAAAGTAAAATACTACTTTTCTACATTACGTAAATCTTGTAATATAAAAAATTACAATATTTGATGCTTTTTAAAAATACAGTTTTATTCATCAATGCTCAAAATTTTAATTCGTTATTTAATTTGTTGTTTCTATATAATATTTAATGTATACCCTTATTTAATATGTCGCGAATCTAATATGATATAAAGTACTTAATAGAGAAATATTAGAAAAATGACTCATATGTTTTACATACATACATATACTATAATGTTTTGTATATACTACATGTGAAAATATGTAAGTACACAAACATATTACACGTGAAATTACAAATACGGTAATCTACACTCATACATTTATACGCGTGGGGGCGTTCACATACACGCGCCCCGCGGGGGAGAGGAAAAATAGATAAAGGATACAGAATGAGAGATTATTATATTTTTTACATACTACACATTATTAAAAATTAAATACACGATTTTTATATAACCTAAAAATGGCACTATCACTTTGCAACAATGATTAAAAATAACATTTAAAACATTATACACATATTGTTAACACTAATTATAACTTTTATAACTTATTATTTACCTACGATGTTTGATTTATTATAATTTTAAATATATCACATCAGATAGAAAACTTTTATATGTATTCATACTCAATTTTTATAAGTAACATGAAGTGAACAAAATGAATGTTCTATAAAATAAAGGGAAACATTGAATTAGATAAAAAGAAAGTGGAAAAACAACATACCTGCTGCTTCATTTCCTGTTCTCTATCTTTAATTCAGTAAAGATGTTTTTGTCTCGAAAATTTCTTAGATACGTCCCTGTGAATTGCACGCATGACTCACACCCTCCTGCGCCTGTATCGTAGGATGCGAAGCCGTAGGCCAGTTTCAACGATAATAGCACCCACTTGTCGGCTAGCTGATACCGTGGCAAGTACAACTCCGTGCCTATCCGTTCAACTACGCGACCAATATCCAGGATAATACCTGGAAATACGAACGTCACCGTATATTACAATTTTCATAAGTCTTTACAAATTCTACAATTATTCGTAACAATGAAAATTCAAAGCGACTGTTCATTTTCAAATCAGATATTGTGCATTCAAAAATATCTATGTAAGTATACATGAATTCAAATGTGTTATTGAGTTACAAGGGTAAAATTCCTTTTAGTTACAACGATTTTATGTCCGGATAGACGAATAAGTTACGTCAATTCAGAATTTGAAGTATCATATGTTTAAGTTACATTTATTTCCGTTCCTATGTTATAAAAATTGTACGAATTTTTAGTAAACAATATAAAAATATTGACAAATCTTTCATTTCCATTTTAATCATTTTGATTCACAAATGTACGTGTTTTTGCATTTGAATTTAAACAAACGAAGATTCTATTGAAATTTAATTATACAAAGTTTTTGAAACGAAGCATTAACTGATAATAAATTAAGTAGTATATTAATTAAAAGTACATTTACAATTTATCATTGAACGTGTATATGTTTTTCTTTTTCTTTACGTGAATAGTCGAAATGCTATCAATACAACCTGTGTGTAACTGGCACGCGTCACAAGCTTCGATTGATCGCCCTTCAACGTAGGGCTTTCGCGCTCATTTTTTTTTCAGTCATGATACGATTGCCACGCGTCAGGAATTCTGTTCAACTTATACATCTCTTTCTTTTCTAGTGAATATATTGCTATACACAACAATTTTATACAAAACTCTTTCCAATGTACTATACCTTTAACGATTTTTTTCTTTCTTTCTATTTTCGCGTACATATGCTTCGTTTTAAATTGTTTCAAACTAACATTTCACTAATAACCCTTTTTTCTTAATTTATGTGACAATTTTACTTATCGTTTTTTAAATTTAGAAGAACATGCTGAATTTAAAAAGCATTCTTTTGTAACTTGAGCGTATCGTAGCCGTGCGTTAAGAAAGTAAGAGTCGTTGCAAGTCTGAACCACTGAAATATCGATTTAGGTTCAAATATAGTCTCCCTTTAGCTACTTAAATAATATAGGAACGGAAGTATAGCGAATACTTGTTGCGCGTCTATTTTCAGCGTAAACTTCTTTTCAGCTTCATCTTTCCTTTAATGCACGATTTAATTGAATGATTATTTTAGTCGAAATTTGATCGGAATTTTATAGACGTACGGTTAATGAGTTGTATAATCTGGTAGTCTTTATTTTAGAAACATAATTTAGCTTTCTCATGATTCATATCAATGACGAGATTAGTTATTTAACAATATTTTTTACGTGCACATTTTTTAATGTGAATAAATTTCACCGACACTTTCAATGTTATTTTTTGCTCGTACTGTATTATTTTTTACATCGTTCATTTTATTCAACTTTTTCCGAGTTAAACTTTGATAATTATTCATCAAAACTTATTTTTAGTGTATTTATTTTAATAAAATTATTACCTTCCGCACGTGCATAAAAATATAACATAATGTAAAAAATACACGTGTTAAATGTTTTGTTCGAAATTTTACACGATGCATTTTGTTAAAATCAAGAAAGAATAAGTCTGCATAAAATATTTCTGTCAATTTTGTTATAAGCTAAAGATCATTCGAATTTTTTGAATGATGTTACAAGTTGTAAGGGTTTGTTCTGTTCAATAGTAAGAAAGGAATGTAAGGACGAGAATAACAGAGATGCCAGAAATTCTCAAAAGCAAAGAAAAGAAAATGTTTCTACAACATGACATAAGGGATATTCCATTTGATATACACTGTGAAAACAATTTCCTTTATATAATAAAGAATAAAGTTTGTTTATA